ATGAAATAAATACAAAATTTTGTATTCATTTACAAATACAAAATACAAATGAAATACAAAATTGTGTATTTATTTTGTATTATGTACAAAGTTTTGTCAGGGTTATGTATCATCTATCAGTATCTATTTATCTACCGGTATCTATCAGTCTATCCATCTATCATCTACCTATGTCTATATCCATCTATATCTATCCATCCATCCATCCTTCTATCCATTCATCCTTCCATCTATCTATCTATCTTTCTATCTTTCTATCTATCTATCTATCTATCTATCTATCTATCTATCTATCTATCATCTATAGGTATCTATTTATCTATCTATCAGTATCTATTTATCTACCGATATCTATCAGTCTATCCATCTATCATCTATCTATGTCTATATCCATCTATATCTATCCATCCTTCCATCCTTCTTTCTATCTATCTATCTATCTATCTATCTATCTATCTATCTATCTATCTATGTCTATATCCATCTATATCTATCTATCTATCCATTTATCCATCCGTCCATCCAATCCTGTCCGTCCATCTGTCTGTCTGTCTGTCTGTCTGTCTGTCTGTCTCTGTCTCTGTCTCTGTCTCTCTCTCTCTCTCTGTCTGTCTGTCTGTCTGTGATAAGAGTGTAGATGGGACCAGAAGGAAAGAAGGGAGAGCTTGGCCCCAACCCACTTGGCTCTGGTCCCGCCCCCATTCTTTTTAGCCCCACCCACCCCTGACCAATATTACCATAGCTCTCTTGAGGAGAAGCCTACGAAGAGCTGCCATCTGGAAAGGTACATTTCAGCTCCATTTCTATCTATTCTTCCCCTGCGATTTCCCAACCAAACTCTAATCTCTATCGATGATGTTCCAACAATAAAACAAAACAAAAATTGCTTCTGCCACCATTTTTTTTTTAAAAAAAATTAAAATAAAAAAAAGCAGGCAACCCATTGCATAACGGGGTGGCCTTCCTTGGAATATTAAAAAACTGTGGACATTCCACACATCATCAAGGACCACTCAATTGGCGAGGGGAAAGAACCAGAGGCAGCTTGAGATGGAGAAAGAATTCCTCGGAAATGAGCTTTTAACAGAATAACAGAGTTGGAAGGGACCTTTAAGGTCATCTAGTCCGACCCCCTGTTCAAGCAGGAAACCTATATAATTGCAGACAAATGGTTATCCAACATCTTCTTAAAAACTTCCAGTGTTGGAGCATTCACAGTTTCTGGAGGCAAGTCGTTCCACTGATTAATTGTTCTCACTGTCAGGAAATTTCTCCTTAGTTCCAGGTTGCTTCTCTCCTTGATTAGTTTCCATCCGTTGCTTCTTGTTTTGCCTTAGGTTGACCCCCTCTTCTTTGTGGCAGCCCCTCAAATATTGGAACCCTGCTATCATGTCACGCCTAGTCCTTCTTTTCATTAAATCCAACATACCCAAGTTCTTTCTATGTTTTAGCCTCCGGTCCCCTAATCCTCTTTGTTGCTCTTCTCTGCACTCTTTCCAGAGTCTCCGCATCTCTCTCTTTATTTTTTTTCATATTGTGGTGGCCAAAACTGGATGCTGTGTTCCAAGTGTTTTGTAAGAGCTTGTTCAGTTTTGTCCTTGAGACATCCAGCGGGGTGGGTTAGTCTGCACATTTCAGACAGCTAAGAATCCTTTTTCAACTGGAGGGAGAAACAAAGTCAGCCTTGGCCATTGACGTGCCTGTTTTAAGGGGAATAACTTGGAGATTACTTCTTCTTTCAAAAGCAATTGCTTTATAAATTCCTTTCTGCTATCACCCACCTAGCAATTTATTTCCATCAGCGGCACGGATGGAAACCACTTTGCATTTCTTATTTAAGCTGACAGCTTCACGCTCCCTTTTCTTTCTTTCTTTCTTTCTTTCTTTCTTTCTTTCTTTCTTTCTTTCTTTCTTTCTTCCTTCCTTCCTTCCTTCCTTCCTTCCTTCCTTCCTTCTTTCCTCCCTCCCTCCCTCCCTTTTCCTCCCTCCCTTCCTTCCCTCCTTCCTTCCTTTCTTCCTCCCTTTTCCTTCCTTCCTTTCTCCCTCCCTCCCTTTTCCTTCCTCCCTCCCTTCCTTCCTTCCTCCCTCCCTCCCTCCCTTTTCCTTCCTTCCTTCCTTCTTTCCCTCCTCCCTCCCTCCCTTTTCCTTCCTTCCTTCCTTCTTTCCTCCCTCCCTCCCTCCCTCCCTTTTACTTCCTTCCTTCCTTTCTCCCTCGGTCCTTTTTCCTTCCTCCCTCCCTCCCTTTTTCCTCCCTCCCTCCCTCCCTCCCTCCCTTCCTTCCTTCCTCCCTCCCTTTTCCTTCCTTCCTTCCTTCCTCCCTCCCTCCCTCCCTCCCTTCCTTCCTTCCTTCCTTCCTTCCTTGATCATGGTGTATCACTAAGCCATTGAATTCATTTCTGGTGTAATCACAAGTTCACGATCTTCCTTTTATGTGAGCCCTGCGTAATTATTTATTTAGCAAATTTAGAGAGCTGCTGCCCTTTCGCGAGAAGGGATGCCGGCTGGCTGGCAAGCACAATAACAATTAAAAGCAGAGGGCAATCAAGAAGCATCCAACATAAACGTGATCTATATTATTACAGCTTCTCTTTGCTCATTATCTCAACACGGACCGAAGGAGCATCTTTAAGGAAGAATGCCCTAGCTGTGCATAAACTCCGCTCAGCTTAGGAGCCGAAGAGCTGAGCCAATTTGCTGGCAACCGTACAAGACGACGGCATTGGCTAGTCTTAAAAATGGGGGATTAGCGGTAGCATTAGTAGTAGCCGTAGTAAAATTTAGCGGTATCCCAAATAGATGGCTTAGAATACGCACATACATAGAGACCAATTGGAGATGTTTAGTAAACAGCAATTCAGAGGGATCCAAATGAAGCCAGAGATTCAGCTGCTAACTGAAATATAGGTCAGGCATGCTATGTAATTGCCATGCTTTATCAAAGCAAGCAATATGTCATTTATTTATTTATTTATTTATTTGGATCGCCAAGGCCTTGCATCGAAAAGCGATTTCCATTGCAATTCGTTTACTCTTTTGATGACATGGTACATTTTTGTTTGTTCTCTAATCCATGTGCAACCCATCCTACACCTACTAGGGTATAAATCTATTTGTTTGTTCAAAAGGTTGATAAAACTGCCGAAACTTCCTAATCACAAGTCTAGGCCATGTTCATGATAGCGGTGTTTCGGTATTTGAGGGGCTGCCACAAAGAAGGGGGGGTATCAACTTATTCTCCAAAGCACCGAAGGGCAGGACAAGAAGCAATGGGTGGAAACTCATCAAGGAAGAGAAGCAACCTGGAATTAAGGAGAAACTTCCTAACAGGTAGGACAATTAACCAGTGGAACAGCTTGTGGAAATGAAAGAAAGCATTGGGTTGCTTTGACGCTTATCTGAAAATGCCCAAATTCCATCCAGGTTCTTGGCAGTCAAAGGGGAGAGATTGACAATCTCCGAGAGAGGCATAAAAACAGCTCTAAGGGCTCCGTGCAGCTGATATCTCAATTGCAAATCAATACTCCTGCACGATTTATCCATCTTTCAATTGTTTCTTCTTAGCCTGGAGTGCAGCAATCTCCCTCAAAGAAGCCTTAGATAAATTAAGTCACAGGAATGAATTTTCTTTCTTTCTTTCTTCTGGGATAGGAACCACCACGATAACCTTGGACAAATCTCTCCGTTGCCCAAAGGAGAAGACACCTTTGACAAAATGTATATCACAGCTTGCCTGGAACTTCACCATGACTTATTTAGGTCTTTAGAAGTTTGTGATAGAAGAGAAAATATTTGTAGCGCAGGATGGAACGGTGGGGGTCCTGCGTGCTTTATGAGCTGGGCTGTTTTCTTGCAAACATTTCAAGACCCAACTGGGGAGCCTCGCCAGGGCTAGAAGAGAAAGGGGTTTGCAGAGGGGAGAAGGAGGAAGAGGAAAAGGAGAATGGGGTTCTTGGTTCCTTCTGAGCTTGGTTATTTTCTTACAGGCATTTCATGACCCAACTAGGGAACATCATCAGGGCTGGGACTGAGTGAGGTTGGTGGAGAGGAGGAGGAGGAGGAGAGAACTTTGGGTCCTTGGTGTTCTCTGAGCTTGCTTGTTTTCCTGCAGATGTTTCATTACCCAAGTAGGTAACACCATCAGTGTTAGAAAGGAGAGGGGTTTATGGAGAGGAAGAGGAGGAGGAGGAGTGGGGAGGGGAGAGGAGGCAACTGTGGAATCCTTGGTGCTCTCGGAGCTTGTTGGTTTTCTTGCAGACGTTTTATTACCCAACTAGGTAACATCATCAGTATTAGAAGGGAGTGGGATTTGGGGAGGAGGAAGAGGAGGCGGAGGGGTGAAAAAGGAGGTGGAGGGGTGGTGAAAGGGCAGAAGGAGTGGTGGTGGAGGAGGAGGAGGAGGAGGAGGTGAAGAGAAGGAGGAAGAATATAGGAAGAATAATTTTCTGTCAGTTGACCTCAGTAGGTGAGAAGCCCTTGGTCCTCCAGGGAACTCACTCAGGTCTTGGGAAGTGCCACCAAACCAGTAGACAGGTCCCACCTCCAAGCCCGAAAAAGAAGGACTTCTACTAAGGGCAGAAGATCCGACTTTCCAGACTCGGAGGGAAGGGCTCTAAAAACGCGGGTGGGTGGGCGGGGTCCCCGAGGCTAAACAGACACACATCCCCACACACACACACCCTCGCCAAGCCCATAGCCCCTCTCCCAAATAACCAGACGCTTCCAGCCTTCCTACTAGGTAGACCATCACTCCCCACTACCACCTGCCCCTTCTCACCCAGCCCTCGTCCTACCCTGCCGGGCCGTCCGCTGGTTAGAAAGGTGCCTTCCTGGAGCCCCCACCCCCCCACTCCCACTCCCACCCCCAGGCAGAGGGCTCGCTCTTTCTCCCTGGAGAGAGAGAGGCGGGGAGAGCGCGGCGGCGACGCCTCCGAGGCAGGGACCGCGGCCGCCTGCACTTTGCTGACACGGGCGATTCCCAGTTGCGCACACAGCCTGCTCGCAAGCCAGCGCAGCTCCAGCGCTCGTCCTTGAGCCGCTGAAAGACTCGGGCGCCGCCGAGCGAAACGGCGAGAGCGCGCTGGGACTCTTTGCAGGGCACCGGGCGCCACGGAAGGGAAGGGAAGGAAGGAAAGGAAAGGAAGCAAAGGAAGGGAGCAAAGGAAGGAAGGAAGGAAAGGAAAGGAAGCAAGGAAGCAAGCAAAGGAAGGAAGGAAGGAAGGAAGGAAGGAAGGAAGGAAGGAAGGAAGGAAGGAAGGAAGGAAGGAAGGAAGGAAAGGAAGCAAGCAAGCAAGCGAAGGAAGGAAGGAAGCAAGGAAGGAAGCAAGCAAAGGAAGGAAGGAAGGAAGGAAGGAAGGAAGGAAGGAAGATAGATAGATAGATAGATAGATAGATAGATAGATAGATAGATAGATAGATAGATAGATAGATAGGTCTGGCCGGGACCCCAGTCCTGGCGCTCAGCCGCGCCTCGACGGAGGCAGAGAAGTCGGAGGGGCGGTGGTCGGACGGGCTCTGCCCCCTCAGCCAAGAAAAGCTGAGCGGGACCCTGGAAGAGGTGGAGGATTGGCCCCTCAAATCCCGCGCTCTCTCCGGCTTAAGCCCTGATACCTTGCTTCCCATCGTCGTCGGACGGTTCCAGAAAACCGAAGTCGGTCCAGGATGAAGGCGAGAAGGCTGCGGAAGGCGCAACCGGCCGGGGAGCCGCAGCGGGTGGGAAATCGGGCTCCCCACCTCCTTCCAGCCGGAGGAAAGCCATGGAGATCTCCAGAGCATCGGGAGGCTTCCCGGTGAGTCTTTCCCTCGAGAAGTCTTGGGCGGGTTGGATCCTGAGCGAGGTTGTCTTCTCCTTCCCGGGGTCTGAGATGCAGCTGGGAGACTCCGAGCCGGGCGGGACCTCGTCCCTGACCGAGGGTCCTCCGACGACCCAGAGGATGAGTTCTGAAGCAGCCGCTGCCCTCCTCCCCGCTGGACCTCCAGCAGCCGTCCAGTCCAGGATGGAGAACTTCAGGAAGGTGAAGACTTCCGAGCAAGGCAGCCCCTTGCCTTTCTCCGACTTGCCGCCGCACGTGGTGGAGATGAAGGTGAAGGAAGGCAGCAAAATCCGCAACTTGATGGGCTTCGCCATGGCCAGGATGGAGAAAGAGGAGATCCGCCAGATTGTCTTCAGCGGCTGCGGGCGGGCGGTGACCAAAACCATCACCTGCGTGGAGATCATGAAGAGGAAGTTGGGAGGTCTCCACCAGGTCACCAAGCTCCAATACCGGACCTTGGTGGAAGTGTGGGAGAACCAAGGACCCAGGTCGGAAGGACCTCCCGAACACCTCACTGTCCACAAGAACGTGCCCTCCATCTATATCCTCTTGTCCAAGGACTTGGTGGACCCCAACCAAATGGGCTACCAAGCTCCCAGCCCTCCTGGCAACCTCTGGGCTGAGAGCAGGATCTCCCCGAAGGCGATCAAGAGAAGGTTGCTTGGGCCCCACGAAGAGGACTAGCCCAACCAACCAGACAGCCCCCAAACCAAGAACTCTGGGGGGACATGACTTGGGGATTTTGATTTGGTGGTTGTAGTACACTCGTGTGTCCCTTCAGCCTTTGGGAAGTGTGAAAAAAAATAATAATCCAAGCCATATGCCAGCCTTACCAGGACAACCGGTTGAGTTTGCAATTTGCATTGAGAGACGCTTTGCAAAGAAAAGGTGGGTTGGTTGCGGTAGAGTTGATGATGTCACTTGTGCTTAACCACTTTAGCTTGCATTGAACTCACATGCAGATTAACTGAGTTGGAAGGGACCTTGGAGGTTTTCCAGCCCAATCCGCCTTTTTGGAAAAAGGCAACTTTGAGACAACCTTAACTTAGATGATTGACACCGTAGACACCAGGTGTACGTGTTTACTAGGTATTTAGTAATGGAAGTGTCCAGGGGTGCTATTCAGCAGGTTCTGGAGAACCGGTAGCGGAAATTTTGAGCAGTTCGGAGAACCGGCAAATACCACCTCTGGCTGGCCCCAGAGTGGGGTGGGAATGGAGATTTTGCAGTATCCTTCCCCTGGAGTGTGGTGGGAATGGAGATTTTGCAGTATCCTCCCCCTGGAGTGTGGAGGGAATGGGGATTTTGCAGTATCCTTCCCCTGGAGTGGGGTGGGAATGGAGATTTTGCAGTATCCTTCCCCTGGAGTGGGGTGGGAATGGAGATTTTGCAGTATCCTTCCCCTGGAGTGGGGTGGGAATGGAGATTTTGCAGTATCCTTCCCATGGAGTGGGGTGGGAATGGAGATTTTGCAGTATCCTTCCCCTGCAGTGGGGTGGGAATGGAGATTTTGCAAAATCCTTCCACTGCCATACTCACCAAGCCACGCCCACCAAGCCACGCCCACAGAACCGGTAATAAAAAAAATTTGGATTTCACCACTGGCTTGAGCCCAACTGTTATGTTTCCCCCCCAGTGTTGACTTGGTGGTCTGAGTGATTTAGAAGCACATGGGACTTTGATTTGGTTGGTGAAGAAAGTTAGGTTTAGGTGGACCTTGGATGTGAGATCGAATTGAGATGAAGGGCGGGAAGGTGGGCGGTGGGTGGGAAGAAACTATCTTTTGTAGATGCCCCCCAGCAGAATGACAGACCAACTACAGAAGGAAGCCCTGGAGTCACCGGATGCTCAAGAGCCATAGGTAGCACATCTCCTAAGAGCTAATGCAAAAGGAGCTTATGTTAATCGCACAGCTGTAAGAGGAGAAAACATTTTGCAAGAATACCTGAAAATACGTTGCTTTTTTGTTCCAATGGAGAGTTGCATGAACACATTGTACTTGATGCAATACAATATATTGAACACAAATACAATGCTCTCTAAAGGACTTATTGGGTGTTTATCAGTAGGGTGCGGGGGGGGGGAGGAAACCCTGGTTGACCCAAGAGGAGATTCACACAGGGTGAGAAGTGGCCGTGTTTTCCTTGATTTTGGGCTCAGCGCGGTCTGTAAACCCTGGTTTCTAAAAAGGGGGTTCAGATCTGGGCTGTTCTGTACACCCCACCAGTTGGTTCAATGAAGTTTTTGATTGAACAAGCCATGGTTGAATGTAACTTATCAGCGTTAATGTTTTTTGGGGGGGGCATATTTCCTTGTTTGGGGGATGGCTAAAGGATGAAAAGGGACTGATCCAATGGTGGGTTGCCCCTGGTTCAGACCGGTTCGCAAGAACCGGTAGTAAAACCGGCAGGAGGCTCTGCCCACTGACCCAGACATCATCATAGGTGATCTGTGCATGCACAGAAGAGCGTGCATTGGCACGATGTGAACGGGTAGTAAAGGTAAGTAGAACCCACCCCTGGATTGATCATTATGGCAGTTGTAGCGGAAACAATCAAGGAGATTCTCCATCCGTTTTATTCATCATGCAGTTCCATCTTCTGTAGCTTCTGGTTTCCATGAAACTTTCCCACTGATGGTCATGACGTGTTTATCCTGGAAGAGCTTTCCCTGACTTCTAGAGATGTTGGATGTTCCAGCAGAGCTCGGTGAAGGACAAATCTCCAGGTCACTTAATGACGATGATGTTATCCATTCAGCCGTGTCCGACTCTCGACGCGACTCTGTGGGCCATAGCTTCCGATCTTGCACTGCTTCTGGCTGAGATAGCAATAGCACTTAGACTTCTATAACGCTTCACAGTGCTTTCCAGCCCTCTCTAAGGGGGCTACAGAGTCAGCCTATTGCCCCCAACAATCTGGGTCCTCATTTTACCCACCTTGGAAGGATGGAAGGCTGAGTCAACCTTGAGCCAGTTGGTCAGGATCGAACTGCTGGCAGTGGGTAGAGTTAGCATGCAATACTGCATTCTAACCACTGGGAGAGAGGGAGGGAGGGAGGGGAAGGAAGGAGGAAGGAAGGAAGGAAGGAAGGAAGGAAGGAAGGAAGGAAGGAAGGAAGGGCGGGCAGTAGCACTTAGACTTATATACCGCTTCACAGTGCTTTCCAGCTCTCTCTAAGCAGTTTACAGAGTCAGCCTCTTGCCCCCAACAATCTGGGTCCTCATTTTATTTACCTCGGAAGGATGGAAGGCTGAGTCAACCTTGAGCCTGGTTGAGATCAGCTACGATGGTGTCCAGCCATTGTCCTTTGATGTCACTTGATCTCTGAAATACAGGCAGGAAATCTCCCCAAAGCTTTGCTTCCCCCGCCCTCTCCTCCCCGCAGCAGTTGAAGGCCAGTTCTCAGCCTGCAGTGATGGGAAGCCTACATTGCTGAGAAGCCTACATTGAGATGTTTGGGTTGTCAGGAAGAACAGAGGTCCTGTTGAAGTCACACGCCTCCATTACCAGCTGTCGGGGGGGTTATTAATGGCCAAGGCTACAGCCCAATGATTTTCTTTTGAGTGAAGCCCGGAAAGAGACAGATGGACCTGTTTTGCTCTTCTCTGCCATCTGAGGCCTCAGATTAGAAAGATGCAAATCAAGGACGGGAAGCTATTAAATATTTGAAGCTTCTGTGCTATTCCTAGGATCCATCTCTGCGCCTACAGGGTTCTGTTTGATGGTAGGACCGCAGCTGAGCTTTGCACGGGGCAAAGGAGTCCTACTAGATCAGTGTTTCCCAACCTTGGAAGCTTGAAGATGGGTGGACTTCAACTCCCAGAATTCCCCAGCCAGCGCTGCTGGCTGGGGGATTCTGGGAGTTGAAGTCCACCCATCTTCAAGCTACCAAGGTTGAGAGACGCTGTACTAGATGGTCAAAATGGCATGCCACTGATGGGCTGATTTTGCAAACAGGAGATGCTTTGGAGCGCTGCTGGCTGGGGGATCCTGGGAGTTGAAGTCCACCCATCTTCAAGCTACCAAGGTTGAGAAACACTGCATTAGATGGCCAAAATAGCATGCCACTGATGGGCTGATTTTGCAAACAGGAGATGCTTTGGAGCGCTGCTGGCTGGGGGATTCTGGGAGTTGAAGTCCACCCATCTTCAAGCTACCAAGGTTGAGAGACGCTGTACTAGATGGTCAAAATGGCATGCCACTGATGGGCTGATTTTGCAAACAGGAGATGCTTTGGAGCGCTGCTGGCTGGGGGATCCTGGGAGTTGAAGTCCACCCATCTTCAAGCTACCAAGGTTGAGAAACACTGCATTAGATGGCCAAAATAGCATGCCACTGATGGGCTGATTTTGCAAACAGGAGATGCTTTGGAGCGCTGCTGGCTGGGGGATTCTGGGAGTTGAAGTCCACCCATCTTCAAGCTACCAAGGTTGAGAGACGCTGTACTAGATGGTCAAAATGGCATGCCACTGATGGGCTGATTTTGCAAACAGGAGATGCTTTGGAGCACTGCTGGCTGGGGGATCCTGGGAGTTGAAGTCCACCCATCTTCAAGCTACCAAGGTTGAGAAACACTGTATTAGATGGCCAAAATGGCATGCCACAGATGGGCTGATTTTGCAAACAGGAGATGCTTTGGAGCGCTGCTGGCTGGGGGATCCTGGGAGTTGAAGTCCACCCATCTTCAAGCTACCAAGGTTGAGAAACACTGTATTAGATGGCCAAAATGGCATGCCACAGATGGGCTGATTTTGCAAACAGGAGATGCTTTGGAGCGCTGCTGGCTGGGGGATCCTGGGAGTTGAAGTCCACCCATCTTCAAGCTACCAAGGTTGAGAAACACTGTATTAGATGGCCAAAATGGCATGCCACTGATGGGCTGATTTTGCAAACAGGAGATGCTTTGGAGCGCTGCTGGCTGGGGGATCCTGGGAGTTGAAGTCCACCCATCTTCAAGCTACCAAGGTTGAGAAACACTGTATTAGATGGCCAAAATGGCATGCCACTGATGGGCTGATTTTGCAAACAGGAGATGCTTTCCTTAGGAGCTGTACTAGGGTGCAAAGATACGGATACTGTGAAATCGTTGATGGGGAATGACTTGGGGCCTGATGGGTTGAACAATCTCCTCCATTTCTCTCTCCTTTTTTTTTTTCCTTCTTCTTCTTCTTTTAAACAAAATATGAAATGGGCACACAAAGCGTCTTGGTCCAAGGAATGGCATACCATTTTGGCCATCTAGTACAGTGTTTCTCAACCTTGGTAGCTTGACTTCAAGCTACCAAGGTTCTGGGACTTCAACTCCCAGAATCCCCCCACTCCCAACACCAGGAGAATACCATACCAGTATTAATAGCATTTTCGCTCTTTACATTTAGCAGAGTAATCCTAGCGATTGGGCAGCGGGCCAGGGTTATCTCCTCGGGCCCTGAACCTAAAGGAGAGGAGAGATCTGGTTCTGCTTTATTCCTTAAATCTTGTTCTTATTCCAAGAGGGTTTTTTTGGGGGGGGGGGCTTCTCTCCCCCTTCCTGATGTCTTGACGGTGCTTCTGTTTAAAAAGCTTTTAAAGCTCTCTAGCCAGGCCTTGAGCGAATATTATAAAAGTGACACAATATCAGAGGACCAAGACTTTTATAAGGTTACATGAGCATTTCAGAAGCGGATGAAGTGGGGGGGGGAATCCATCAAAAGCCATCTTTCTTGGAGACAAATAATCTGTCAGTTGGGATACAAAAAAATATTCTGGGTTCATCGCTTACAGAAATGAGAAGAAATATTTACTCTCTCCAGAGAAGAGGCTGGCCTTTGAAAGACTCCATACACCGGCTGGATCTGTACAAATAGAATAGAATAGAATAGAATAGAATAGAATAGAATAGAATAGAATAGAATAGAATAGAATAGAATAGAATAGAATAGGAATTCTTTATTGGCCAAGTGTGATTGGACACAGAAGGAATTTGTCTTTGGTGAATATGTTCTCAGTGTACATAAGGAGAAAGTCACCCAGCCAGCTTTCATGCCTAAGGCAGGACTAGAACTCACCATCTCCTGGTCATTGGTCCAAAGTCACCCCATCATCTTTGATGCCTAAGGCAGGACTAGAACTCACTGTCTCCTGGTGATTGATCCAAAGTCACCCAGCCAGCTTTCATGCCTAAGGCAGGACTAGAACTCACCATCTCCTGGTGATTGGTCCAAAGTCGCACAGCTGGCTTTCTAGTCCTAAAACAGGACTAGAATTCCCAGTTTCCTGGTTTCAAGCCTGCTGCCTTCACCACTAGACCAAACTCACTCTCCTTACAATCCCAAATCCTCACGGATTCTTTTTTGAACGCTGTTCTGGGCTCGAATCAGACGGATGGAGGCTTCTCACAAATGTACGAATTACCCAGACCAAGATCATTACTAGCTTTAAAGGATGCCTTAATGCCCAATTTATTTGTTCCATTTCCATAAAATGTAGTTCAGCTGTAATTGCCTCGGATGTGAGTATTGCGGTTGGAATTTTAATGTTGGTGATCAGCGGGCTGTGATCACGTTTGATTATAATGTGCTTTAATTGCGTGCACCTGATTGCTGAGGGCTACTTTGAGGGAAGGGAGGGGGGGTGATTGGCTTGAAAGTTGGCTGGAAAAATACCTATGTTTAAAATCAATGCCTTAAGATTTACGCAGCAAACAAAGAATGCTGTAATTAAAACTGGTTGTTTTTTAGCACCCTGGAGAGCGCCTATGAGGTAGCTCACTCCAAGGCTGGATTTGACCTTCGGGAATGAGGCCCACAGCCTGGTTAACCCAGATGTTTAAGCAGCTGGCTTTGTAGTCATGCTTTTTTGGAGTAAGACACAAGCCAGCATGCTTTGGTGGTTATGGCACCAGGCTAGAGAGCAGGTGATGGAAAGTTCTAGTCCCGGCTTAGGCATGAAAGAGGACTGAGAGACTTCGGACCAATTACCGGGAGACGGGGAGTTATAGTACCATCTTAGGCATGAAAGCCAACTGGGTGACTTTGAGCCAATCACCAGGAGATGGGGAGTTCTAGTCCCACCTTAGGCATGAAAGCCAACTGGGTGACTTTGAGCCAATCACCAGGAGACAGGGAGTTCTAGTCCCATCTTAGGCATGAAAGCCAGCTAGGTGACTTTGAGCCAATCACCAGGAGATGGGGAGTTCTAGTCCCACCTTAGGCATGAAAGCCAACTGGGTGACTTTGAGCCAATCACCAGGAGATGGGGAGTTCTAGTCCCACCTTAGGCATGAAAGCCAACTGGGTGACTTTGAGCCAATCACCAGGAGACGGGGAGTTCTAGTCCCACTTTAGGCATGGAAGCCAGCAGACTGGGGAATTCTGGGAGTTGAAGTCCAACCATCTTAAAGTTGCCCAAGCTGGGAAACGTTGACCTTACGGATAGCGTTATCCCCTTGACCAACACCACAAAGACAGAGGCATTGTTGTTCGTCAGGAAGCTTGCAAAATTTCTGAGATATGCAGAGGGCCTGCTCTTCAGGCCAAGAATCCATTTTCTGTTCATCTGCAGCCATGTTCTTATCCCTCGTCTCTTGCTCTTCAGGAGGAGGGTAATGCCGTTTACCAAGACCCTCTACAAAAGGTTGGCAAAGGGGAGGGGCACCCACCTTGGCTTTTGACCGGCAGCGTTTTGCATTCCCGCCAGCTCGCATCGGCCGCTGCAAGCTGTCAAACGCAGTCATGGTTTCTCTAAGCTTCCAACCGGTTTCTCTGTATCTTTCTGTTCATCAAGCCAACTTCGGCTTCCAATCTGATGCCAGGGCAGCCGGGGTGGGGGTGGGGGGTGTTGCCAAAAATGAGAAATCTGGATATAAAAAAATGACCCAAACCTTAGAAAAGTTTGGAGAGGGAGGAAAAAAAAGACCTTCCCATTCTGGAATTCCACCCTCACTCTGCCTCCTATTGTTAAGGGCCCTTTTCTTTGAAAACACCACTCCTGTTTTAATGCAGACGGGAACGAAAATAAGGAAAATAAGGCAGGATGTGCTGTAAAATCTATGAAAGAGAGAGAGAGAGAGGCAGGGAGACTCCTAATAGGATCTGTTGTTAGACTGCCTTCTTATCTCCCAGCAAACAGCTGCTTCCTTGGAGCTATCGCTGGACGCTTATCTCTTTGCCTCACAGATCAATTCATTTTGCTCATCTTCCTGCTGCATGATTGAATATTAATGTTCTGCTGTTGTCCTCCTTCGCTCCTTTTAGTTGACTTTCTTCTCCCACTTCCTTCCCGATAAAACTGGGATCCATTGTGGAAGGTGTGTGGAGGGACTCAATCCACCAAGGCAGAGGAACCTTGGGAATCATAGAATAACAGAGTTGGAAGGGCCCTTGGAGGTCTTCTAGTCCCACCCCCTGCTTAGGCAGGAAACCTTACGCCACTTCAGACAAATGGTTGTCCAATCTCTTCTTAAAACTTCCAGTGTTGGAGCATTCACAACTTCTAGAGGCAAGTTGTTCCACTGATTAATTGTTCTAACTAGAGGCATGTTGTTCCACTGATTCATTGTTCTAACTGTCAAGGGGATAGATAGATAGATAGATAGATAGATAGATAGATAGATAGATAGATAGATAGATAGATAGATAGATAGATGGATGGGGAGGTAGGGAGGTAGGTACAATAGTGGCCAAAATTGTGAAAAACTTTTGGGAAAAGTGTATTTTCTAAAACTAAGTAATAACACTTTTTTTTAGCAGTACCATAAAATTATACCAATGGAAAGATAATTTAATCAAGAATGTAATGCAATAACTTTTAGGAAGGATTTGCTATTAGAATAGCAGTTACAGTATAAAGAAGAGAAGGGAAACACATAGAAAAAAATGAGATATACAAAAATTATCACCACGTCAGTTAATACTTAGCTGGGTAACCTTCAGCATGAATGATGGCCTTGCAACGTCTTCCCATGGAGTGAACCGAGTCTTTTAGTTCTGCAGCTGTTATCATGTGAAACCAAGATGGAATGATGGCTTCTATTAACTGGGTTTTATTGCTAGGTTGCTTCTGACTAACAAGTTTATTTAGTCAGCTCCATAGATTTTCAATTGGGTGAAGGTCTGGGCTATTCCCAAGCCATTCCAGCAGTGGAATAGGATTATCTCGAAACTCCCACCCAAAAATAGGAGGCAGTTCTAATTATCCTCTGGTATATGGAATGGTTACTTACGGTAAGGTTACTTTAACTGAATCTTTATATTAACAGAGCAGTAGGCCCAAGTATTCTTTTTTCAAAAAATTCCTTTCCAAATAAACCTCTTTTGATCGTGCTGTTGAAATTAGATGGCCAATGGTCAGCCTGAAGTATGAGATTGGTAAGGATGTTTTTTTTTTTTTTAAGGAAACGTGGAGCAAAATGGATGCGTTTTAATTCCACTCAACGTAATTAGCATTAATTAATTAATAATTGGTTTTCGTTTCTGGCAGCCTTGCGGATGAAAAGCACCAGGCCCATGACGCAGACTTTACTGTAGAGGAACGGTGGGCAGGAACTGCTTACATTAATTCTACCAGCAATGTTGTAAATGTTATATATCCCCCCAGGGCACTTGCTCCACAGTGTCTCATCTGTCAGATTGTTACAGGCACTAAGAGCTTCAGCATTTCTTCTGGCACCTATTAAAGATTTCCCCTTGACCACCAGAGGATTTATGCATCGTGTCAAGGTGGCCTATGGCAGAACCATCTGGTGAATTTTACCCTGTGATGGAGCTTTTAAAATGAGCAGGGTGGCACCTTGAGCCCAATAAAATGGCTTGACACTCAGAATGGAATGGAATGGAATGGAAAGGAGTGGAGTGGAGTAGGGTAGGGGAGGGGAGGGGAGGGGAGGGGAGGGGAGGGGAGGGTTGAGTAGAGTAGAATAGAGTAGAGTAGAGTAGAGTAGAGTAGAGTAGAGTAGAGTAGAATAGAATAGAATAGAATAGAATAGAATAGAATAGAATAGAATAGAATAGAATAGAATAGAATAGAAATACAGAATGGAAAGGAATGGAATGGAACAGAACAGAACAGAACAGAACAGAACAGAATAAAATTATGGAATAGAAATACAGAATAGAAATATGGAATAGAATAGAATAGAATAGAATAGAATAGAATAGAATAGAATAGAATAGAATAGAATAGAATTTTATTGTCACTTTAAATGTACACTAATCAGTATACATTAAAATGGAATTTTGTGGTGCAGGTGGTGCAAATCTATAATGGAGTGTTTTTAATGTGTTGCAACAAGCCATCGCAAAACATAATTTATGACTCAAGGTTGAGGAGTAGAGAGGCGGCCTTGAAGAAGGAAGGCGTGCAACCGAGATGACTTAAACAGCAGCGTAGACTAGGAAGGGAAAGAAAGAGTGAGGAAGAACGGCCCCGATTGCAGGGCAGAAGAAGGCCAGTTCAGGAATCGGCAACCCTCATCCATAAAGGTTTTAAAACTTTTGGAAAATCTCCAGAAATCTCTTCTTCACAAGCGGAAAAGGTGGCAGGGCAAAGCAGTAGCTCTCATAAAAAGGGAGACAGCCAGGCAGCCAAGCCATTTTATTTATTTATTTTATTTATTTATATTTGTCGAGTACGTGTTAGATAATATATATAAGGATAAGAATATGAATACATAAAATGAATGCAATTAATAAAATTATTAAAAAAACCATGCAAAATAAAAAAAATTAATTTTTTTTTAAATTTAATTTTAAAAAAAACTTTATTCATTATCCACCTTTCTGGTTTAATTACAATTAAAATTGCAGAGTTGAACATTCCTGCAATCTACCACTTTTTCTTTTCTTTTTTTTTTTTTAAATTCAGCCCCTGGAATTACTCCACGCCCTCCTCTGATTGGCTGCCAGAGAGCCAGACAGACAGGCAGAAAGCCCCGCCCCGCTTCGGTGCGCAAGCAGAAAACCCCGCCCTTCCTTCCCCCCCCACCCCCCACCCCACCCTCTCCTTTGGAACGCTCCGCCCAGCGAGGCCGCCTGCGCGCGCATCCGCCTGCCTGCCTGCCTGCCTGCCTGCCTTGGCCTGGCCTGCCTTGCTCCCTTCCTTTCTTGCCCCACCTGCGCGCGCATCCGCCTTCCTGCCTGGCCTGCCTGGCTCCTTTCCCTCCTTGCCCCTCCCTCCCGCGTGCCTGCGCGCGCATCCGCCTGCCTGCCTGCCTGGCTCCTTTCCCTCCTTGCCCCGCCCTCCCGCGTGCCTGCGTGCCTGCGTGCGTGGCGTGGCGTGCCGCCGCTTGTCCCTCGCGCGCCGCCGTAGCCCGGCTCGTCCCATTTTTGTCCTCAGCGCGCCGAAGGGTGACCGGGGTGGTGGGGGCGGCGCGAGGAAGCCTCGAGTCGCGCGCTCAACCGCCCGCCTCGCCTCGCTTCCCTTCCGTCCGTTTTTTATTTTCTTTCCCCCCCCCCAATTCTTCTTCTTCTTCTCCTCAGCCATGCTGGCCGCCGCCCGGCTCCTCCGCAGCTGCGCCGCTCCCGCCCTGCGCGGCCTGGCCCTGAGGACGCCCGCTGCGGCAGGTGAGCCTTCCACACACACCACACACACACCTCAGAATCCCCTCAGAGACCCCACCCCCCGTGACAGAAAAAAGCGGCCCTCTCCCCCCCACAAGAGGAGGGGGGGAGGACTACAACTCCCATCCCCCCTTCTCTCCCCCCCTCCCCCCCCACACGTCTCCTGTCAGATTTGACGCGGTGGGGGGGGAGGGAGGAAGAGGAGATCATCCTGTGAGGCGGTTTCACACACACACACACACACACACCTCAGAATCCCCTCAGAGCGCCCCCCCCCGTGACAGAAAAAAGCGGCCCTCTCTCCCCCACAAGAGGAGGGGGGGAGGACTACAACTCCCATCCTCCCCTGCGACCCTTTCATCCCCCTTCTCTCTCCCCCCCTCGCCCCCCCCCACACGTCTCCTGTCAGATTTGACGCGGTGGGGGGCGGGGGAGGAAGAGGAGATCATCCTGTGAGGCGGTTTCACACACACACACACACACACACGAGTGGGAGTGGGGGGGGCTGGTGTCCCGGGAGGTCTTTTCCCCCACCGCCGCTTCCGTCCTCTTGAGTCCCGGGCGAGAAGGTGACATTGAAGCGGTTGGCCTGGCTGAGAGGAGAAGGCGAGGCCTGAGGGCGGAAGGGGGGGGGAAACCCGTCGCTCTCTTTCTCTCCCCCCACCCCCCCACAAGGAGAGGAAACCGGGCTCGCTCTGGGCGGCCCCGCCGAGGGAGTTTAAGGACAAAAGGGTGGTGGGGGTTTTTTTGTTGGGGGGGGGAAGAGGACTGCCCCAGTGATCCCTTATTCCACTCAAAGGTGGATTCCCCCCCCCCTATAGACACACACACACACACACACACACACACACAGACACTTACTTCCCCCCTCCCCCAGGAGAAGATCAGGCTCGCTCTGGAGTTAAAAGGCGAAAAGGTTATGGGGGTTTTTTGGGGGGGGGGAGGAGAGGGGTGAGGACTGCCCCAGTGATCCCTTATTCCACTCAAAAGTGGATTCCCTCCCCCCCCCACACACACACACAAACACACACACACATACTTCCCCCTCCCCCAGGAGGAAATCATGCTTGTTCTGGGGTTAAAAGGCAAAAAGGTTGTGGGGGGATTTTGGGGAGGAGGAGAGAGGAGAGAGGATTGCCCCAGTGATCCCTTATTACACTCAAAGGTAGATTCCCTCCCCTCCCCCTACACAGACAGACTTCCCCTCTCCCCCAGGAGGAAATGGGGTTCGCTCTGGGGTTAAAAGGCAAAAGGATTTGGGGGGTGGAGAGAGGACTGCCCCAGTGATCCCTTATTCCACTCAAAGGTGAATCCCCACCACTTACAGACACACACACTTCCTCTCTCCCCCAGGAGGCAATCAGGCTCACTGGGGGGGGTTAAAAGGCAAAAGGATTTGGGGGGAGGTTGGGGGGGGAGAGGGGAGAGGACTGCCCCAGTGATCCCTTATTCCACTCAAAGGTGAATTCCCTCCCTATACACACATAAACACACACACACACACACACACTTCCCCCTCCCGCAGGAGGAAATCATGCTGGCTCTGAGGTTAAAAGGCAAAAGGGCTGTGGGGCGGGGGTGGGGGGAAGAGTGGGGAGAGGACTGCCCCAGGGAGCCTTTATGCACTCAAAGGTGGATTGTCACCCACACCCCAAGGTCCCTCGCCTGGTGTGGGACAGCAAAGGGCCTTTGAGTGCAAAGGGCTGCCCAGAAGGGTTTGTGTTGAGTGACACCCAAGGGGGGGGGCAAGAGAGGATGGACTGTTAGGTCAGGGAGTCTTGATTAGATTGTTTTGATAGAATAAATAAATGTTGGGGGTGGGGGAAGCATCTTTATGAAGGGGTCAGTGAGCTGAAGGTTGTGGGAGCACCTGCTTTAAGGCCTTTTTAAAAGGCAGCAAGGTTGGGGCTGTATGGGCTTCCTTCCTTCCTTCCTTCCTTCCTTCCTTCCTTCCTTCCTTCCTTCCTTCCTTCCTTCCTTCCTTCCTTCCCATTGTTATCACTTTCCTTCCCCCTCCCTCCATTTCTTATCTTCCTTTCTCATTTTCCTTCCTCTTTCCCTTCCTTCTTTCCTTCCTTCCTTCCTTTTTCTCATTTTCCTTCCTTCATCTTTTTCTTTTTTCCTTCCTTTTTCTCATCTTCCTCCCTCCCTCCCTCCCTTCGCCTTTCTTTCTTTACCTAGGCTCCTCTACCTCTGCATATATATGAACAAATATTGCAGTAAATAGTGACATGGGTGAGGTTATTTATCTAAAGTCCATCTATTTTTAACCCTGTGTGATCGTATCTGGAGTTGGGTTTTTTTTTTGGAAGGCAATGTATTCTCTCACTATGAAAATGTATATTATGCTTTTGTTCTGCTCTGCTTGGATGGATTAAAGCATAATCTCTCTTTTTTTCTGGTGTCATGTTTGAAAACGATCATATTCGCTGCCTTTGACTCTCCTGAAATGAGATTCAAATATCTGTCAGTGACATTTGTTCTGATTTATACCTTTTAACGACATTATTTAAAATTCAAGGTATAGCTTCTATTCTTAATAGGCCACACCCAGAAATTATGTACAGTGCAACAAAAGCTTAATAACTTTAAGGAAGTTGAAAGGATATTCCTTTGTGTTTTTACTCTCCCTTTTATTAACAAGCTTTAGTTGAAGAGCCTGTTGGTTATAGCCTCCCTGCCTTCCCCTTACCTTATGGACTTTGTACCTTTAGGTTCACAGCCTTGTGTTACTTCAGATTTTACAGTGGTATTCCTTTTCAGCTTTTTCCTATTTCAGAGTAGGAGTAGGTCTTGGAGGCTGCCTCAGGAATATGTTACCCCGATTTGCTGCATGCAAGATTTTATTATGTGCCTTAAAGTTATTTACATCCCTAGCATCAAGGCACATTGGCATATGCTAAATAAATAATCAGGGCACATAAGAAATTATTTTCACAGTTGCTATATTACATTGATGATGTTTTAATATCTCCAAAGGCCCATTTGCTTAACAGATGTTGAAAGTTTAATTACTCAGTGTTGGTAGAATTGGGCAGATGAGGGAAATGAAACTGCACTTTAAATATTTAAGGTTTTACATTTCGTTTAGCAGTTTATATATGCTTATGAAAGCATGCGTCTTTTAATAAGAATTTGTTACCAGACACTTTTATATCTGTGGAAATAAGAATTAGCATTAGTCAATCAACATTACATTACAACGTTTCCTCATTGACTCCTTAAAAGATTGCAACACTAAGATTAGTAAAGTGAAATTCCAAAAATATCAAATAATTTCCCATCTTCCTTATTATTTATTAAATTTATATCCCTGATAAGGCTATTCTGAGTGGCTTACCGACCATAAAAAGATAAATTAAAAAAGCAGTTAAAAAATTAAAACTACACAGAAGCCAAGAACCAAGAGATGGACAGTACAGAGTTGAGGTCTTCTTATCCCATCAGCCACCTCCAGCATCCCTTTGGGCCCCCAAGCCAGAGGGCAAAACCAAGCATGCTAAGAGCGTTCTACAGAATTAAAACCACAGACTTGAAAAGACTTTTCTCCTAATTATTAGTATATATTATACTAATATACTATATTAACATAATATAAACTCTTAGGCTCTTCTCATGTTAGTATTTTCTTTCTATGCCTTGAATAATCAAACTTCTGAAGTAATCCAGTATTAAATGTCCCACTTTTATGCCTATACGGTATTTAATTGTTTTGCTGAGTTGAATTATTTAGAACAAGGAAACAAATATTCTCTGTGGAACAATTCCAAAGTCTGTGATGTCCAATGCTGGACTCATTTTACATCCATCACGGTTACAACTCTGATGGGGCAGATTCATTACGGTCATAGCTCCAGGACCACCTTGCAGCTTCACCCTTGAATGTTTCACATCTTTGTCTTCTGCTCCTTCCCGTTTTTTGTTCCAAAAAACCAGCACTACCTCTGCGTTGCTATGCTCACAAAGCAGAGATCACAGATGAAGAACTGGACGCTCGCTGGGTGATGTTCTTCAACAAACCTGATATTGATGATTGGGAACTCAGGAAAGGTAACACACATAGGAAGCATCGGGGGGGGGGGCATTAGAGAAATTGTATTTTCTAAAGGTTCGATTGATTTGTGCAACCCAATAGGAATTGTATAGTTAATTATATTAACTGCAGCCAGAATTGTATTTGCACAAACAATGGAAGAATGATGAGATCCCGACAGAGGAGAGTGTAATTAAGAAAATATTAGAATGTGCAGAAATGGATAGACTAATGCTTACTATTAAGGACGAAGAAGAAACTGAATATTTTTTTGATATGGGACTTATTTTATCAATGGTTAGATAACAAACAGAAGTTATAAATGGGGAGACATAAAAAGAGGAAATGTTGAAAGAGAGTTGTTAAAGTAGGAAATGTTAAATATTGTTATTATATTACCAATGTTATTGTGATGAATACTATTGCAAACATTTGGATTATGGCTGCTTAAAAATAATTGTAGCCAGATCACACACTGTTTAATGGAAATTGAATTTTTATATGTTATATAAATAAAATATATAAAACATGGGGGGGGGGGAGGGAAAGGAATTATATAGGTCCCTTTCCTGGAGCGAACACAATGATCCTAGAGCAAAAATCACAAAGGTCTCCTGTTTATTTTTTTCCACTTTGAACAGCTACATTGGTGCAACAGAACTAAGTATAATATATTACAATTAACGTAATATATGTTAGACTTTGAGATTGAAGTAAAGGTTAGAGAATTGAGACTTTAACCCCGAAATTTTGTCTTAAATTTTGTATCTGGATAAAAGCAGAGTTACTACACCTTATCTGCTCCACGGCAAAATCTGAGATGATAGAATAGAGACACAGAGGGAGAAAAGAATTAAATTTTATGTCAGGGTTTTGTTAAATGCATCACAAACATAAGGGGAGGACTAGAATAAACACAGTGTCAGTGTCATTTATTTTGAGATAGCATCGAAACCTGACACACAGCACTCTCCTTCAATGCTCTTTTCTTTTGATAGGTATTAACACCTTAGTCGATGCAGACATGGTTCCTGAACCAAAAATTGTTGATGCGGCTTTGAGGGCATGCAGGCGGCTAAATGACTTTGCTACCACAATCCGCATCTTGGAAATGGTAAAGGTGAGTGAAGGCATCCTTCTGTTTACAATATAAAGCATGGTGGAGTTCACTAACAAACCTCTGAGATTCTTCTCCCACCGCACCCCACCCCCAGTCCTTATATGGGAACAGCTTAAAAGTGAAGCATTCACCACTAGCAGAATGGACCTTGAGTGAGAGAGGCGGAAGAATCAGGCAGGAACCAGTGGCCAGTAGGCCAGATCATTTATATTCACTGACCTTGTCTCAGAGATAGTATAGGTAGCATGCTGTCTTATTATACAGGGATAAAGTGTGCAGACTGCTCCACCTCGTTCATTAACACTCATCCAATGCCAAGAAAGCCAGTTTGGCTTAGTGGTTAAGGCACCAGGCTTAAAAACCAGAGGATGGTGGGTTCTAGTCTCATTTTAGGCATAAAAGCTAGCTAGGTGAGCTTGGGCCAGGATTGTTGTTCTGGGGAAGAGGAGGAAGAGGTATTACGTATGTTCACTGCCTTGAGTTATCGATAAAAATATAAATAAATATCAATTTAAAAGGGAATTCAAGATGCTGAATGTAATAACCATATACTTCACCTATGTATTATAGTTTCTCTGGACATGAACTTTTCAGAAATAAGATCAGTGGTCAGAAATAATGTTCAGTGAAACATATGAGTGACAATTAACTGCAGCTTTCTGGCAGTTGAAATATTGGTTGCTTGTGAGTTATGGATATTTCTTGGATAAATTCAGGGCCATAGAAAAGTTAAGCTCTTGGGCTTAAGTCTTGCCAAATCTACTTTTTAAGTTCTGAAGTCATGTGTTCTCTTTGAATTAGTACAAATCGGGCAGATACAGGGATATATATCCATACGTTATCCAGGAACTTAGACCAACTTTGAATGAATTGGGAATTTCAACTCCAGAAGAACTTGACATGGACAAAGCATAAACTTAACAGTAAGAAAATATATCTTTAATTTTTCCTTGAGCGCATGTTCTTTAATATTCTGTTTGATGTTTGATAAGGTAGAGAAAAACATTGCTGTCTTTGCAGAGAATGTAGGTATGTTCTCAATAACTGGAATCCAATTTTCTGTAGAATACTTGGGCTCTAATACTTGTGAGATTTAAAGTACATTAAAAATGAAAACATACCTCAGTCATCTTGTACTTCATTTTACTTTTTTGGGGCGCCACTAGTTTAAAATGCAGCAGACATCCCTCAAATACAAAAAAAAAAATTAATCTTTGTATTTCTAAACAGCATTCAGATATAATGCTGCTCTCTTCTTAAGTCGCTATTTGCTCATATTAACCATTTATTTCCCCCATAACACAGAGAGGGAGAGAGAACTAGTGAAAGCATTTTGCCAACAAGGCAAAATCAGAGAAATTAACACAAGCAAATTTATGCTAAAACAAAACAGTTCTATGGAGATGGCATGCGTAGTGGAAGCACATATAGTGGAAATGCAGGAAAAACTCCCCACGTTACAGGACAAGAGGACACCAGGGGTCTCTTAACCTCTTATTGCTTGTGGGGCACATTGGGTGTCTTGAGAATACATTGCAGGCACTCCCACAGAATGGATTGGGGCTTCCCCTTCATAAAATGGCTGTGATGTCAAAGGTAAATACATATTTGCAAAGCCCCAGCCAATTAGAATGCTACGCCGTCCTTTCTATCTCTCTTCCTCTATCCTTCCCTCTCCTGCCTACCATCTCTGTTTGTCTTTTCTGCATCAGTTTTTCTCAGATCTGTTTTTTAAAATGTAAAAAGAGCATGGAGCACGATAGAAATTAGGAGAGGTGCTTTTGTGTACATGTAGCAGCATCCAAAGGGTAGACAAGTGGCAATTAAATGCTACAAATTCCTTAAATTGCTCTATGCAACCAGGTATTCATCTGCAGCTAGTATTGAAGTTGGAACATCTTTTCTTAAACTTTCTATCCACTTTCTCCTCAAGAGGCTTATGAAGAAATACGGAACTTGAAAAGAATACATCCAAACTAATTCCAACTATCTGTTTTTTTCCAGATGGACTTCCCATGAGAATACCGTTAAGGTTCTGTGACTGTACAACAATTACCTGGATATTATAGACATTATAATTACTTATTTGAAATCACTTCTTCCTTTTATTGAGTCCTGGATATGTATTGTGAAGTTGACCTAATAAAGAGGAAATGGTTTGAATTGACTTTAGTGTTTATAGCCTGTGATTTATGGATTACAAATATATATATATATATTTTCCAAGGCAACATTGAACAAACGTGGGATGCTATTCAGACATTGAATTCTGTACATTTCTGCACAAAAAGTACTTCTTCAGATTTCAAAAAATGAAAGAATCCAGCATTTTAAAATGCTAAACCCAGTTATAAAATTATAATTTCGTAAGTATTAATTCATGTTAAGAACAGCATAACATAAGATTCTATGCTGTTCTTAACATGAATTAATACTTACGAAATTATAATTATAAGCAACATGCTTTCATGGAATATAAATTGGACAAGAAGCTTGATTGACTTCAGCCGCTTACACAAATCTTAGCATTTACTACATAAAAAGAAAAATCTCCAGTCTGCACATTAAGCAATGTAACGTGTCAGTTATACCACTTTTCCTAATCCTAATAGTTATTTAGAAGCTTTTGAAAATATGTGGTAGTGCTTGATGAGATCTGTTAACTTGCTGGCTGTAATTTCTTTTGATTGGGTGACTTTTTCTTGTATCACTGGGTAAATACTAAAATGGAGACATGTAAAATGAGAGAACATATATCAAGCTTTGATAATTCATAGTGGTAAATCTGAATGTATTTTGATTACATCTTGATGTGAAACAGTTGTATCCCTATGATCCAGGAAGAATGAACAAAATAGTTTAGGAAAAGCAGCTCATAGGTTTTAAATTCAATTTACGTACTCTTAAGAATTGCTCCATATTGCTTTCTCCTTACATGCCTTCACAGAGGCACTTTCAGCTTCCCTTCGTAGAAATGGGTTAATCGAATTCCTCGCCTCAATATTTATTAAATGTATTAAATTAAATGTATATCTCATCAAGCAATGTTATGTAATTTACAACAAGATATAAAAAACCATCTAAAACAAACAAAATATTGAACATTAAAATTAACAAAAATAGCAAGATGGGAGTTGCAGTCCATCTGGAACAGACTGGAGAAAACCCTTTTTCACACAAATGAGATAAAATTGCACTTGGGTTTTGTTTTTTTTTTTCTGTTCTTCCGTTTAACAAAATTTCAGCAATGGTAGGGCAATTGACAGACGCCACGGAGCGCAAGTCCGCCAGCATCCTAGAGCGCCCCTTCCATTCCTCCTCTGCTCTTCCCCAAAACAAACAAAACAAACAAGGGGCCGCCTCCCATTGGTCAGCTTCCCTACCTCTTAACCCCGCCCATAGGCGTTGCTCGCGAGAGAGAGAGAGAGAGAGAGAGAGAGAGAAAGAGCAAGGGCGGGGCTTTACAGAAGAGCGACCAATCCGGGAGAACGTCGGAGGCTAATTTTGAACAAGGGAAGGCGCCGTCGCGTTTTCTATTGGCGGAGTGGCGCGATGACGGGGTGGGCGTGGCTTCGGGGTGTGGCGTGGGTGGGGGGAAATCCTCTCCGCCAGAAGCGGCGATGGCGACGGGAGACGGAGGCGAGGAGGAGCCGCCGCGGGGAAAGGAGGCCGGGCCGCACCTCGGGCCCAGCGGCGACCTGGTGAGGTCTCTGAGTTGGGCCCTTCAGCCCTGTGAGAAGCTTCCCCCCCCACCAAAAAAAAAAATCCCCCAGTTTTTTCTTCTTCTGGTCTTCCTATTGGAGGAGGGAGGGTAGACTGCTCCTGGCTGGGGAGGCTCCATTCATAACGTCAAAGAAAGGAGGGAGATCCAGGCTTTCCCAGCCTGACCCAGTAAGGGAGAGTAAACTCTATACCCGACCCTAACCCCCACCCACTCCCACCCCTCAAGGTTGGTGTTTTGGTGGGGGAGAGGCTTCCTAACTCTTTGGAAAGTTGGGCAGAGCAAGTGGGGGGGAGGGGTGGGGGGGGAGTCAGGGTCTGGATGGGTTGGGGGGGTCTCTGAGTTCGGCCCTTCATGCCTCTGAGAAGCTTCCCCCGCCCCGCCCCCCAAATTCCCCAGCTGCTTCTTCTGGTCTTCCTATTGGAGGAGACGGTGGAGGGGGTGTAGACTGCTCCTGGCTGGGGAGGCTCCATTCATAACGTCAAAGGAAGGAGGAAGATCCAGGCTTTCCCAGCCTGGCCCAGTAGGGGAGAATAAATTCTATACTCCCCCCAACCCTAACCCCCCACCCCTCAAGATTGGTGTTTTGGTGGGGGAGAGGCTTCCTAACTCTTTGGAAAATTGGGCAGAGCAAGGGGGTGAAGGGGCTTGTACCCATACAATGAAATTCACTTAACACCCAAAGACCAGGTCCAACACACATAACAATCCCCAAACACACTCCCACCCACCACAATTCCCCACCCCTAAACCACCCAAACATCCACACAACAGACCAAGTAATGCTGTCCAACAGCTCACGGATGGTGGCCCTTTAGTTCATGGTTGAGTGCAATTATAGCTCTGGGATGAAAAACTATTCAGAAGACGTGTGGTCCGAGTTTTAATTGTTCCGTATCTTCTGCCAGAAGGCAACAGTCCAAAAAGATTGTAAGCAGGATGGGAAGAGTCTCTCAGAATGTTATGCAACTTCCTCAAACAGAGAGATTCGAAGATGTCGTCCAGGGCTGGTAGCTGGAGCCCGATGATATTCTGGGCAGTTTTAATGATTCTCTGTAGAGCTTTTTCGTCTGCTACAGAGCTGCTCCCATATCATGCAAGAATGCCGTATGTTAGGACACTCAATGGTGCTGCGATAGTAGATTAATAGTTATTAATCTTCTCATCGTTTCTATCACCCATGTCCTCCCATTTATGACTGTATGACTGTAACTTTGTTGCTGGTATCCTTACGATTTATATTGATTGTTTCCTAGTATGATTTGTTTGCTTATTTGTACCCTATGACTATCATTAAGTGTTGTACCTTATGATTCTTGTATCTTGTCTTTTTATGTACACTGAGAGCGTATGCACCAAAGACAAATTCCTTGTGTGTCCAATCACACTTGGCCAATAAAGGATTCTATTCTATTCTATTCAATCTACGAAAGAGACGTGATTGGATTTTGTATTTTTTTGATCAGTCTCCAATGCAACGGCTCTTTCAACTTCTCACTTCCCCCCTTTCCTTTTTCAGGGGCAAATGGACAAACGAAGGTTGTGCCGAGAGCCCCCAGTAGAGAAAAGAGGCCCCTACATTATGCACAAACCATCTTCTATTCAGGATAAGCTACGTAAGTAAAACAACGCACGTTTTTTTCCACCTCCCCAGAAATGTGCGGTTTATAGCTAGTCCTCAACGACTGTAATGGATCCTGCCCATTTTAAGATCAGAAGTCATGACGGTCATAACGCGGATCACCCATGGTGAGCGTTAGGTGAACCAGCTGTTCACAATGGGCGTGCTGTACCCAGAACCAAAAGGCTGATTTTGGGCAAAAAGACGAGATGTTACCGATAGCTTTAAAAGTTGGGTTATTTACAGAAGCCCAAAGAGTACAGCCAGTTGCTGAATTTCTCTCTCTCTCTTTTTTTGGGTGTCGCAGAAAAACATCGCGAGATGGCGAAGGCAATGCTGCGGAAGAAAGGGGTGCTTTCAGGAGCTGTCCGGCAACAGCCCAAACCAGGAGGCGTGAGGTCAGCGTTCGTGTGTCCTTTTCTTGTTGAATGGCGGTGACAGTTCTGGTTTTTCAGGATCGGCCAGGGATGTATGGTATGCCGGCTTGACAGCCGCGGATAGAAGGACATTATAGAGGGTTTGCTCCCTTTTTTCTATACAGTAGCTTGCCCTACCGGATTTAACGGGAGTAGGGTTTTCTCCTTGCAGTTCCTTGATTCGGGTATTGTTATCCGCTCGATCGTTTGCCTGGTGTTTATCCCTGCTTATCTGGGTTTAAGCTGCTGGGGAGGATGTGTTCTGGTCTTTTGGTTTCCTTCTTAGCTTTTTTAGTCTCTCTCTTGAATGGTCTGCAAGTGTGGTTTATCTCTATGTATCTGTCGATGGCTAATTTGTCTGAATGCTGAGTTTCCAGGAATTCCCTACTGTTAGTAAATTTAGTTTGATCTAGCTCCGTGATGGTGAAACTATGGCACGCGTGCCACAGGTGGCACGTGTCGCCATATCGGTGGGCACGCCAGCGTTGCCCTAGCTCAGCTCCAGCAGGCATGCGTGCACCAGCTGGCTAATTTTCGGGCCTTCCGGGCCCACCAGAAGTCAGGAAAGAGGCTCGGGGGTGGGGGGGCATTTTTGCCCTCTCCAGGCTCCTAGAAAGCCACTGGAGCCTGGGGAGGGCAAAAAAACGGGCCTTCTGGTCCCACTGGAAGTTGGGAAACAGGTCATTTCCGGCCTTCAGAGGGCCTCCGGGGGTGGGGTGGGGAAGGCCGTTTTCACCCTCCCCAGGCTCCAAGAAAGAAATTATAGGTGGATATCTGCTTTCGGTCTTCTGTTCACGCCCTACACTCTCCCCTTCCACCCCCACTGCGCATGGTAGCTTCACGGTAGTTTCTTCTTCTTTTACCAGGACGGTGAAATTCAACAAGGGCTACACTGCGCTCAGCCAGACTTCAGATGAAACTTTGGTGGCCCTTGATTCCGACAGGTGAGAGGCATGTAAGCACTGCTTGACTTTTTTGGGTCTGAAAAACCTTGATTGACAGTCCTGTCCCCTCAATTGAGTTGGCTCTACAGAGGTGGTCCTCGACTTAACGACCGGCCGTTTACGACCAAGCGCCAGCTGTACGATAACAGAAGGAAATAATGATCTCTGATTGTGGCTAGAGGGGGGGGGGGAAAAAGTCGGTTAGCTCTCAGCTCCAAGAATAAATACTTCGCCTAAGCAGCCTCTCCCAAATCTTTATTGAAAAATGCGGATCGGTCACAGGGCAGCTTCTTACAATCTTATGGGAGGCCCGTTGGTTTCTATGGATGGGTTGGCGACTGAAAATGGGGCTTGTAGCGTCCTTTCAACTCGTCCTTCATTTTCTTCTCTTAGTGATGACCTGGAATCCAGATGTTCCTCCGGTTATTCCTCAGCAGAGGCAAGTCTGGCATTTTATAATTTAATAATTGAATTTTAAGTAATTTAATAATTGTTTCCTGGGTTAGCTCTCTTATGAGCTTCTTTAAGACAGGCAAGTGTTTGCTACACACACTTATCCTGCTGTGCCTGTTCAGGCTCCCAACCTCAGGAGACTTTTGAGAAGGAAACTTGAGCTGCAGCAGGAAGGTACCAGTTAGGATTCAAATGCTAATCCTCGTTTGTGGAATTTGGGGCTAAATTTAATCTTGTGCGTGCATCTTTTTGTCTGTGAAAGGGATCGGCTAAAAGTTCTAGAGACAGCCCCGAATGTTGTTGTTATTGTTTTATTTTATTTATATTCTGCCTTTATTATTATTTTTATAAATAACTGAAGGCAGAGAACCCACGCACTACTCCTTCCTCCTGTTTCCCCCCCTAACAACAATCCTGAGAGGTGGGTTGTGATGAGAGAAAGGGACTGGCCCAAAGACATCCAGTCTGCTTTCATGCCTAAGGCAGTACTAGAACTCTCTTGTCTCCTGGTGATTGGCCCAAAGTCACCCGGCCAATTTTCATGCCTAAGGCAGTACTAGAACTCTCTTGTCTCCTGGTGATTGGCCCAAAGTGATCCAACCAACTTTCATGTCTAAGGTGGGACTAGAACTCTCTTGTCTCCTGGTGATTGGCCCAAAGTGATCCAACCAACTTTCATGTCTAAGGTGGGACTAGAACTCACCGTCTCCTGGCGATCAGCCCATAGTCACCCAGCCAACTTTAATGTCTAAGACAGCACTAGAACTCACCGTCTCCTGGTGATTGGCCCAAAATCACCCGGCCAACTTTCATGCCTAAGGCAGGACTAGAACTCACCATCTCCTGGTGATTGATCCAAAGTCACCCAGCCAACTTTCATGTCCAAGACAGCACTAGAACTCACCGTCTCCTGGTGATTGGCCCAAAATCACCCGTCCAACTTTCATGTCCAAGACAGCACTAGAACTCACCGTCTCCCGGTGATCGGCCCCAAATCACCCGGCAGACTCTCAGAATAAAGTTATTATTCCATATCTTTTTCCCCCCTCAGGTCAACCAGGATCTCAGTCGGCAACTGCTGCAGGACGGCTACCGCTTGGATGAGATCCCTGACGACGAGGATCTCGATCTGATCCCCCCAAAGCCCATTTCGTCCTCGCTCTGCTCCTGTTGCTTTGGCGACTCCGCCTCCTGCTCCATCCAGTAGGAAGAAGCCTTGGGAGGGCTGCACTAACACGGGTCAAGGATTCAGCACTTTTCTTTCCCAAATTCCTCTCTTTGTTTTGGATCCCCGCTGAGCCCAGCCCTGAACTTTAGGTCAAATCAGCGGGACTGGGGGTGGGGGCAACTCTGGAGATTCGGCCCCTGGAAGGGCAAGGCACTGCACTGTTGGCACCTTGCTCAGAGCTCCAAGCGCCTTCTGGATGGTGCGACGTAGAAGTGTATTAACTGTTAAGTATTCAGGAGGCTGATGGATGCCCTGTGCAAAGAGAGGTTGCTTCTCTGGACAGGTTCGGCACTCCTGAGGGACTGATCAGGAGGCAAGGGTTACTCCCCATAAAAGGTGAACAGAAAACCTGTGTGTGCGTGTAAAAGTGAACGATAGCAATCCCGATGACTAGGTTTACAATATATTGGAGGTCAATACACGAAGGGGGGGAGGAAATGCTGCATAGAGACAGAAGGAAGAGATTTACTCCCAGGTTGCTTTTTCTGACGAGAGCGAAGTTCTTGAGATGCTTCTGCAGGACCTCTTTAGAATGGAGATCTTGTCTTGCACGAGGTGGGGAGAGCAGGTTGCACCACGTTTTCTTGAGGACGTGGGCCTTTTCTTCGTCTCCAGCCAGCCTTGTCGATGGCTTTAATTACTACAACCATTGGGTCGCTCATTCCGTTCTCTTTAGGGAGTAAGTAAAAGGGAAGGAGGTTGAAAGATGCCTGAGCTCTAATATTCAGCCTTTAATTGATCTCCTGAAAAGAGTCTCAAGGCCACCTGACCTTAGCAATAGCTTATCCTTCTGTTTGAAGGTTGACCCGCTCGGATCCATGGGCAAGTTGGGCCACGAAACTGCAAATCTTCTGGGAAACTACTGGCCTTAAATGTGCAAGAGATGGCTGACAATTCTTGAACAAATTGATTTATTTGGTAGATGGGATTTTTGGGGGGTTGCTTTGGACCCATTTCCTTTTTGGGGGCGGTAAAGGAAATAAGAGGAAGCTAAGTGAGGAGGACAAGGTTGAAGCTTTTTAGATACCTGGGCTCATCAGTTTTGCAGATCACGTACAGCTCTTGCGTTATCAAGCTATCCATTACTTTCAATGTTTTCTAAACTTGTTGCCCTTCAAGCGGACGAAGGTCCTATCATCCCCCATGCTTAGAAAGAGCCCATGAAGACCACCAAGGATCTTCTGCATGAAATTAACCCGTGGAAAAGGACCCTTGCATGCTCTCAGCCCATTTCACCTCTGGACCTCCTTGTAACAAAGGATGAGTTTTAGGCAGTTTGCAGAGACTGTGTAGTGTGTAACTTGTGTGGCAAGCAGTTCTGGGGAAGAAGAGTCAAGATCTAGTCTTCTTAGATCACCAACACCGACTGACCCAGAACAGAAACGGTCTGTACTTGACCATTTTAAATCAGTTGTTCTGAAGCGGCATGTCTCAACCGACATGTCGGAGATGTTGATGGGACAGCCGCTATGTCCATCTCTAGTGACAAGATGTGGGATTTCTGGATGTTGGATAGGATGTTCTGGATCTTGGATGGGAGATGTTGTAATCAGAGTGTAGTAGAGTTCATCAACATGAAATTGTCCATCTTCGCTTCATTGGTTGGGGGTGGGGGGAAACTCAATGTCATCTCCCAAGTTTGATCGTAGAAGATCTGCAGTTCTTCCACTGCATTCCTGCAATTTGAGAAGGATGTCCCAGTGTCGACATCCTAAACATCTCGCTTCTGCTCGCAGCCTCCTTCCCCCCCCCCCCCCAAAATTAAGGCCATTTCTTCCTCATACTCACAACTTGCTCTTGAGGCTTATGTCTTGTGGCTCTCTCAAAACGGAATGGGATTAACTTTGCCTTGGCCAACTCGGCAATTCCACTTCATCATTTGAAATAATTTTTAAAATTATTTTCATTTCGGTCATTCATATTTCATTTGGTCCCTCCTTTTGCGTCCTTTAAGGATTCTGTTCCACCATTTCTTTGACATATTAGTGTAACTCTTGCCCCACGGCGAGTCGGCTGCAGTGAATTGTCGTAGACCCCTCTCAAAGTCAACGTCTTTGACATGGTCCCAGGGTGAAACAGAGATGCCACCGGAAATTATGCAGAGCTTCCTGATGCGGGTTGCAAAAGCTACGGGTGGCCAGTAGATGGCAGCCAAAACACAGCATTACAGCTGCTTCTACGCTGCCTTCTACTGGTTATCTGGGTTTTTTCAATCCCAAATCTGATTTCTCCAGACATTTTTAATCAAAACTATCCAGTTACTAGCAGGTAACGGGGGATTATTTTTTATTTTATTTTTTTCCCTGCTGGGAAACCTCACCAGCAAGTTAATTTTTTTAAAAAAGTGACCTTGTATGTACATTCTTTGCAGAATTGGCTTGGTAGAGCTATAAAATCTGCATTTCCCAATCTTTTCCCTCCATCCGTGCCGAATTACAATCGGTAGAAATTCAGATTTGGAAGTCTTAACCACCGAGGAGGAGGCAAATACTAGCTTGGAGGAAGTTGTGCCGATAGTGGCGAATATTATAGTATAGCGGCGAAAATTGTACTAAGCTAAACCAATATCTTTGGTTTTGCTATTTATTTATTTATTTTTCAAAAAAAAGCTACAGTTCCTTTCCATTTATTAGGAAAAAAAGGACTCCTTTGTTGGCCGGATTGCCACAGATGCTTTTTGTCCAGGACCAGAAACTACAATGTTCACAACGGAGCCCATGTTACTCAGTTCGTTCAATGAACTTTAATGACGCGTATCGTCATAGACTCTCAGAATTTAAGGCTTAGATGGGATCTTAAAGATCATCTAGTCCAAGGTTCTCCAAACTTGGCAACTCTTAAGACTTGTGAAGACTTCCAATTCCCAGAATTTCAGCTAACACTGAATTCTGGGAGTTGAAGTCCAGAAGTCTTAAAAGTCCCCAAGTTTGAAAACTCCTGTTCTAATCCAAAGCCTATATATATTATAGGATATTAAGTGTTTTTCTATCAAGACACCTGGTCTACCCCAGCATGTGGGAGGGAGCATACTGCATCCTTTTTGCCTTTCAGCTCCAATCCAGGAGCCCTCAAGCAGTCGCATTCACGACAAACCATTTTATACCAAATTTATATTTCGCTGATAAAGAAATAAAGGGAGACTGGTATTGATCTATTTCAAGCTGTTTAGCTCTCATCAGCTAGCCATACCCTTATTTGGATTTGAATTTGGGCTTAATCTCTCCCATGACTCAAGCTGATGAAGGGAGAACTTGTGCCTCAGAGGTTAATACAACTGCCTAACATGCAGGCAGCCCAAGTTCAAATCCGAGTAAGGGTATGGCTAGCTGATGAGAGCTAAATAGCTTGAAATAGATCTATGCTAGTCTCCCTTTATTTCTTTATCAGCGAAATATAAATTTGGTATATAAATATATATATATATATATATATATGTATACGTAATTTTGCAAAGGAAGAATTAAGATACTAGCAGGCATTATACAAACGCATCTTCACTCAGCTCTCTGCTGCGAAGCTGAGTGAACGGATGATTCTACAGGCATTTTTAGAACAGACACCCACTAAATCTGCCCAATAGACTTTATTTTCAAAGCTGCCTTAAAGCACTAAAATGCATTACATGAAGTTTTTTTTAAAAAAAAAAAAAAAAACCTGAATAGCACAGAAGACAATCTTACAGGATATTTAATATTATTGTATATTCGGTTCATTGTGTGTCTTTTTTTTTTTGTACAGTCTAACCAAGGAAAGCGTCTATCGAATAAAGTACCTTTTACGCTACACACTTTGTCCCTTTGTTTATCTGAAACTGATATCCTCACCTTGGTAAGTCTGCCAGCTAGAACTTTAGATCAGCATACTCATCCATAAACTGGGTTTGTATAGCATGCTATTTTTTTTTAAAAAAACAACAACAACCCAGGAAACATAGCTTGTCACGCCTGGGGAAACAAAAGCATTTATTTTTTATTTATTTGGTTTTTATTCCGCCTATATTGTTTTTAATCCCTTCCTCCTCCTATTTTCCCCACAACAACAACAACAACCCTTTGAGGTAGGTTGGGCTGAGAGTGAGTGGCCCAAAGTCACCCAGCCGGCTTTCATGCCTACGGCAGGACTAGAACTCGCAGCCACCTGGTGCCTTAACCTCTAGGCCAGCGATGGCGAACTTTTTCGGCACCGAGTGCCCAAACCGGAATGCGCGTGCATATGTGCGTGCTGGAGCACTGGAAACCTGAAGAACAGCTGGCCAGTGCGCGTATGCCTGTTTTTTGGCTGTTTTTCGGGCCTGAAAACTGCCCCGAAAAAGGTCTGAAAATGGCTCGGAAAACAACCTGAAAAACGGCTTGTTTTTTGGCTGTTTTCAGGCTGTTTTCCGGTGCTCTGGTGCCTGCGAGGACCAGCTGGCCAGTGCGCACATGCCTGTATTTTGGCTGTTTTTTGGGCCTGAAAATGGCTCGGAAAACAACCTGGTTTTTGGCTGTTTGCTGGCTGTTTTTTGGGCCAAAAACTGCCTGAAAACAGCCCAAAAATGCCCTGAAAACGGCCCATAAAATGCCGGAAACCAGAAAAGCAGTTGGCGACGACATGCGTGCCCACAGAGAGGGCTCTGCATGCCATTTCTGGCACGCGTGCCATAGGTTCGCCATCACAGCTGTAGGCCAAAGATCATGGGTTAATGCGACGGCTGGATTGGCACAATATTCAAGGCTCATTAAGACGTCTAGTGCTTTGATCAAAAGGTCTACAGGTTAGGATGCTTGTCAGGGTGCAGTCTGAGGGCCAGAGTCAGCGTATGTGCATGTGTGAAAGAGGATAATACAGGGTCGAAGTCTTGCCCAGTTAAAACATTTCAGGAGGTCCCAAAGGTGCTTTTATCAAGAGGCAGCTGGACTTTCTGGTTTTTCTTAGAAGACATTTCGCTCCTCATCCAAGGAGCTTCTTTAGCTCTGACTGAATGGTGGGGAACGTAGAGATTTATATTCCTTGCAGACAGCTGGTCCTTTGCATCCTTTTTAGAGGGTCATTGAGGCCACTTGGAGGTTTGTCTGTCTCCCCGAGGAAAGCCTTCCAATCCCCACCATCCGGTCAGAGCTGAAGAAGCTGCTTGGATGAGAAGCGAAACGTCTTCAAAAGAAAAACCGGAAAGTCCACTTGCCTCTTAATAAAAGGCATCTTTGGGGACAACCGGGACCTTGGATGACTTGAGAATCTCCATAGAGGTTTCAGGTAGTCCTCGGCTTACGACCGCAATGGGGGACCCGAATTAGTGTAGTCATTAGGCAAGCCATCACTTGACTGTGCCAATTTTTGGCCACTGTCGTTAACCAAATTAAATCATCATCGATGACTCTTCAACCACCTCATTCATCTGCCAACCTCAAAATTTGGGAGGTTTCTGGGAGTGAGTTGAGGTCCATCCGTCTTGGAAGTTGCCAAAGTTGTAAAAACACTTATCTTACTCTTAAGATAAAAAGAGATCACGCACCAGTGGTGAAATTCAATTTTTTTTACTATCGGTTCTGTGGGCGTGGCTTGGGTATGGTGTGGCTTGGTGGGCGTGGCAGGAGAAGGATACTGCAAAATCTCCATTCCCATCCTTACTCCTGGGAGAAGGATATTGCAAAATCTCCATCCCCACCCACTCCAGGGGAAGGATATTGCAATATCCCCATTCCCACCCCACTCTGGGTCCAGCCAGAGGTGATATTGGCTGGTTCTCCGAACTGCTCAAAATTTCCACCACCAGTTCTCCAGAACCTGCTGAATTTCACACCTGCCACCCACCCTACTATAGGAAGCATGACACAGGAGAAGCATCTATTGAGAGACATCGTGTTCTTTTGGCAAGTCAGAATTAACAAAAGCATTGCGCCCACAGCCTCCGTGTGGCTCCGCTGAAGGGGCAAGCAGGGCTACCAAAGCATTTCCAACCCTACATTTTTGGAACCAATGGAGCGTTGGACAAAAGCCAACCAAAGAGAGGAGACCGTTGATATTCCTGTGTAGCCTGAGCCTCGGTCCTTGATGGATGAAACAAACCGGAGAGATGTTAGACCAAGTGCAGCTTCTACTGATCCTGAGTTACTCTAAGGAGGAAAAATTGCTTGGTGTCCCTTATTACAAGAGGCAGCAAGCCCGGAAGAGAACCATCCCTTCCGGGGAATTAAAATGCAAAGAGAGACTCTCATTGGCAGAGATGAACAACACAGTGCCAGGACGTAGGATCATTTCAGATGCAGCTGCTGTGGAAGTGCCGACGGCCGATCCGTGGACCGTGAGCAAGATGCTTGCCGAATCGATGGCTGAAATGAGGTACAGCTTAATGGAGGAAGGGATCTGTAAGAAAAAAGCAGAGGTGTTGCTCGACGCAGGAAGTAAAAGAGAAGAAAAGTTTCCCTGCGTTGGTGGTACAGGAAGCAACTGAAACAGGAAGCAACTGAAACAGGAAGCAACTGAAGCTTGAACTGGAAGCAACAAGCTGTAATGGGAAGTAGGTGAAACTGAAACAGGAAGCAAGTAAACCTGGAACAGGAAGCTACAGAACCTGGAACAGGAAGCTACTGAACCTGGAACAGGAAGCAAGTGAAACTGAAACAGGAAGCAAGTGAACCTGGAACAGGAAGCTACTGAACCTGGAACAGGAAGCAAGTGAAACTGAAACAGGAAGCAACTGAAACTGGAACAGGAAGCAACTGGAAGAGGAAGCAACTGAACCTGGAACAGGAAGCAACTGAAACTAGGACAGA